GTTCCATCAGAATCTACCAAAGAGTAGCTGCCTTCTACTACGTCACCACGACGGGATTCATGTTGAGATTTCTGGTCTCCGGTGTGGGGGTCGCTAACGGTGTATCCGTAATCGTAGTGGGCTGGTGCTGAGGGCTCAGCAACAACAGTCTTGGCCACTGGAGCGTAAGCAATTGGGGCAGCCACCTAAAGAAAACCGCATTTGGAAATGAGTCGGAATATCGAGAATTTTGAATCGAAGTGCTACCTTTGTGGTGTAAGCCAAAGGAGCAGCAGCGTATGACAAAGCTGGCTGAGCAATGTATCCAGCGTGGGCAACAGCCACGAAAGCAGCGAGAACTACAAACTGCAAAAAAAAGATTGGTCAGAATTTTGACTGAAAAATTCCTTTAGCTAATAGGGTGCAAATTAAACTTTTTATTCCGGTACTGCAATGCAAAAAACTCAAATTTGGCTTTGCTTTTACTCAGTTCAAGAATTGCTAAATAGTTTCAAGACTTTTTCTATATTCCAAAGGAGCACATTTAACACTGCCCGCAAAATTTATTTTGCATCAAAATCAATTTTTTGGACGACCGTCACAACTAAATGAAAACATCAGAACAACTTATTTATGCAAGATGATTACTAAATATGTGCACCCGTTTGATAATCCACGTGAACCTGGTGGAATTTATTGCACATACCTTGAAAGCCATGATTGATTACGTTAAATCGATATTAACTGATTTGTTTCTTCGGCGGTCCGGTATATATATACTTATCTTGAAAGTGGGTAAGGGGTGTGGAGTCTGATTGTAGCATTTCACCGAACTGGTGGTTCAAGGAAATGAGTCCCCAATTCATGGTTAAAAGCTGAGCAAGGTCGGACAATTTGATAATGGTTCGCAAAATTCATGCAAAAATATGTTGCCAACCTGGTAACAGTCTTCCAAATTAAATGAATCTAGAGAATTTCAGATGACCTACTTTTCAAAAGTTAAAGTCAAAAGCAAAAGCTTTTCAATTCAGTTTAACATATTTAATAATATTACGTCAATGTTCGGCAATAGAGCAAAAATTATTATTAAATTCAGTAAGCCTGAGCCTGCCAAGTAGATTAAATTAATATAAGGGATAAGATAGAAATATAATTATGCTGTTATTGTAATTTTAAAATTACTTGGCATTAAATTCTGCTTTCAAAGAATCCTTACTATAATTACAAATGTTTTATGATATTCCAAGTGACCAGTACTATAAGAATTAAGTACAGGTAATCGAGTTATTTATTCCAAGTTCAAGCACACAGAAGGTTAACAATAATAAAATTAAGAAAAAAAAACTTACAGAGTTACTTACACTTCCTCAACTGGTGTGACAAACTCCACTGACATATTATTTAAACAAAAATATTGCGTTTGAAACAAAGTCGAGTTATCCGGGAGTCAATAAAGTTTTCAAAAAACTACGAATAGTTTAATAGATCCTTATCCAGTTTTACTAATTCCGAAAAAAAATGTGTTTCGGCGAACTTCGTTTGTCTGGAGCCATTTAAGACATCCGAATTTGTTGGGTTTTTAAATATCGCTTTTTGTTGGCAATATCTAGTCCTCAGATTTTTTCTAAACAAAAAAATGTGTATTTGGTTTAAGTCGGTATCTCTCACCGGTTTCGAGATATTTGGCATTATTATTATCTATTACACTTCTCTACAAATAATATAGTATATAACAGTATTTCTTTAAAATTTTCATTTTTATTACGAAAAGTTTTCATTTTTTAAGTTCTTCTTACAGTATTGTAACATTTGACAAAATCAAATATCTTTAGTCTCTAAGTCATTCTTCAATTGTTATTGAAATGTATAATCAAGAAATGTAATTTAATTCATTAATCAATAAATAGTTAACAATTCTAATTTCTCCAGATTAAATTGAATTTAAAACAACGGGCATACTAACACCAAACTTCAAAAGTTTAATAATGTATTAACATTAATTGTATATACTTTCCTGACTGTGTTTCAATTCCAAATCAAATTCATTCATGGGTTTCAGTCTTTGTCTCTATTTATCAATCAAAACACGTTTCGGTGTATTTTTCCATCATCAGTTTTTCTAAAATAACAGATAGTTAAAAAAAATTGTCACTAATTTAAAAAACAAAAACAGTTCGTCAACAGCCTCATCATATCATACATTAAAATACATCACAATTGCAATACTTTAAAACATTCTAAAATTAATTAGGCCTAACAGGTGATTAGTCAGGACAATCAAATTTGGAAAGACTAAAATGTTTTCGTTCAGATACTTAAATATTTTTATTTACATGTGTAGCGTTAACTTCTACTTTGTTAAGAATCAACGATTAATTCCATGAACTAGTTCATAGGGTTTCACTCGATTTAGTCTTCTTGTTAAGCCAACGTTGTTCAAGAGCTGGATGGCCTCAACGTTGATGTGATTTTGTAGTCTTTGTTCATGACTTTTTGCACAATTTTTTATTATATTGTCCACTGTTTGCACATTTAGATCTTTAGAAGTTATATATGTACACATTAAAATAGTGACTCTCCAATGACAAAGCCGAAGTTAATATCATAGGATAACACTTTGCAAATGTACATCTAGTAGTTTAGGTTAAAGAAAAGTAGCTTATTGGTGTAAACTAGATTGCTATAACAAACTAATAAAAAAAAA